TTATTCACTGCATATCTGGCTTCCCAAGTTGGGTTACCGACCTGTGTTAGTTATATCGACCTCTTGTGGCACATTTTCGTTCTTCTGTTCACATATCTTAGAATGTTCAAATATCGAAAGTCGACGAGTAAACTAATCTTAGAATGTTCCAATATCGAACTTCGAAAATCATACAAGATCATAATACCAAATCCACCGAATTCAATATTTCCTATTTTACAAAAAATATATCCAGATTCTTAAATAATTTGTCTAAGCGGCTTCCTAATTTGGTAAGCATCAGTCCGTCAGATAGTAAATCTATTCATGCATCTATTTGAGTTCGACGGGTATCTCATACAGACCCCAGGGCGGTGGGGTAGCTTTGTGCTTAAATCGTTCGCTCGTCACGCCAAAGCCTCGGGTTTGATTCTCCTTATCGATTCTTCTTATCCCCACCCCCGCCCCCCTTGCACAAGCCTTGCTTTGGCCACACATTATAATAATGCATGACTATTTCAGATACATCGTGCTGAACTTTGCTAGAATATTCTCATGACGTATAATGCTCACTTCTTCCGATCATGTTGGAAAAGAGTTATCGCCCTTTATTAACAGCTTCGGCATTGAAACCACTTAAATTGCGAGTAATTATAGAACATGTTTCACCTGGCATTAATCTTTCATTTCGAAAAAAAATGCCCACCGCCCAACAACTAAATCCGTGCAGTTGCTATGGAACTATTTATATTGTATCAGTGCGCAGTGTCCAACTCATTTGTCTGTGACGTCACGGGTCTGTTATCGCATTGCCTGAAGGCGATTAGAAGCGGGTGTCAGTACAACTTGTGTGCACACTTTACAAATGGAGTTCTACAATTTGCTACAGTTCACGGAATAATTAATCATTTGATTGGATAACGATGGCAAAAGGCAGGGAAAATGCAAGGTGTACGAAAGCAGACGGAATCTGGGTAAGTCAACCATTATTCATATTAACTTTAAAAACATTATTTGTGAAATTTGGTTTCGCAATAATTAGACGTTATTTAAGAAATTGAATAACATTTAAACGGACATCTTATGATGATGCTCATATGTTCAGTATAAAGTACACGACTAAAAATCTCCGTGAAATCTATGGAACCCCAAATGAGTTTTATATATTGAACATAACGATTGAAAACAGATTTTATAACAACACTCTTTTATTCTTTTATTCCTTTACGTGTACACCCAGTCGCACCTAGCTGTTACCTATAAAGCGATAAGTAATAATGGATAGTAAATTTAACTAATAATTTCTTTCGATGCAACCTAAATAAAGCCTTAAAATTGACATCAAGCAAAGTTAACAGGCTAAACAAACATAATGAAACATGCTACAGGATCGCAATCATTGCTGTATTGCCAAGTTCGCTTGCAAATAACAGCTGTGTAATTAAGGTGTTATCGAACAACAGCGAAACTCAGTAGCGATCAGTTAGCTTCATTAGTGCTTACTTCAACGGGTTGCTATGATGGTCGCTTTCCGGTATTAGGGAAAAACCTGGAATTCATGCCAGATTAATGCATTTATTGTCGGACATTAAGGATCAATATGGTGGTAATATCATCTAATGCCGATTATTATCGACTAGAACGAAAGCCAAGATCATTTCGGTGCGAGTCGTTTTCTGTAGCAAGTGCGAGTGTTTGAATTAAAATCAGTTAATTGTTATTGATTCTCGAAGCTATGTAGCTTGCATGGATTTGAGGTTTTGATTACTTTGATCTTATTTGACGGCTTCTTAGAAACATTTTTGGGAAAGAGTAAATACGCGTTCGTTTATGAACTTTCATATTGAATTGATCAGTGTTGATGCGGTTGTGTATGCAGATCATAGGGTTGTTAATAAAGGCGTCAGTGTTTGAGCCGCACACAACACTATCCACACAAGAACACAGCGGTCTGTTACGTGTCGAGTCTGGACCCGGCAAACCAAGGGCAATATTCCACGATATTGGGGCGCAGTCAGGGTCATCAGCCCTGACAACGAGGCTGTCCAACCGATGCATTTCGACTGTTGCCACAAACTCTTAGGTTATTGTAGGTGTAGGTAGGTTTTTAATTATATATTCACCATAACAAGCTGATAACTACTGCCTGTAGGCAGAGAGTTTCCACCGGTTCGCCATTCTTCACTGTAACGTGCGGAATGTTTTTAGCCATTCACTTGTTTTTGCTCCCTACATCTCGTAAGCAAATGTTCGTGTCCACTCTCACTTCAGGCAAAATGAAAGTCTCGTGGTTCTAAGAGGCAGCTATTGATAAATAAATTATAAATAGTTAGTGGCAACAGTAATAAGATTTAGAACGAACATGGGCAAATAAACTACCTGTCTGCGTCCAAAATATGGTTCATTGGTCATAGAGTTATCTGCCCTTGTCGTGTAGTAAAATCCGGAAAGACGACCAGGCGCAAAAAACGACTCGGGTGGAATCGAGAAATAACATATTTTTCGACCTAGTCCAGCTGCATTACATTACCACGTGCGCATAGCTTTCTCGGTTATCATCTATGGCGTTTATAAGATTATCAATTGATTACCATTTCCTGCCTACTTAAAACACGCCAAAGCTTGAGATAAATGTTCATGTTTTGCACAGCCTGTAGTGCCCTTCACCGGCCTATAGCTATGTACACCGGATTAATATAACCGGATCTTATACAGCCTACGTCGCTACATGACCGTTCCCTTCACTGTAAGCCCTTAAGTAACAGTCCCCTAACGATAACACAAAGAAAAGGCGTGTGTAGTTTCATAGAGTATTTGTATATGAAACCGCAGATCCTTTTTAAGGCTGCACTGATTTCAAACAAAACACCTTAAATTGTTGTCAAGTTTCCAGAATAAATATAGAAATATATTTGATATTCAAACATCGAAAGTTATTTTTATTGTTTATATACTGTTTTGTAAGTGGCCAAAGTTGTATTTTCTGATTTAGCTTCATATTTTATCTTTTTAAATTCTTTTTGTATGTACAGTATCTTTCATGTGACCATACACACTTTGTGTTTTAGAACATGTTCCCGTTTTAAGCATTGCTGCAATAGTTTTGCAATGTTTTTGCGTTCTTTCATCAAGCATAAATCTATGTATGATTCCACTTACGTGGACAGTGACTGTGGACAATTATTAGTATCCCCCGCTATCAGATTGCTTGAAGATGAGTAAGAGTAACATGCACTGAAAAGGTGTATATAGTAATCTGTCATCTCACTGGTTCCAAGCATTACCTTGAGTAGGTGGCCACAGTTTATAGGCATACCTTGCAATGCATGTAACATTGTAGCTCGTGCAGGACGCCTTCTGTTAAATGTCTACCATTATACGTAATGTTGACACCGATAAAACTGAAACACTCTTCAAAGCGGGATTAACCCAAACGTTTTCCTTGTAAGTAGCCAGGTGGCTAAAGCCTTCGCTCGTCACGCCGAATGTCCGGGTTCGATACCCCGCATGATGTGTGAAATCAGTGGTGTCCCCCGCCGTGATGTATTGCGGGAACATTGCTAAAAGCGGCGTAAACCCGAACTCACTCACTCATGTTAAGGACGAATACATGTACCATTGCATGGTTTCCGAATGATAGCTATCAAAGTTGAAATATATCTCAAAACGGGAAATTTTCTCTTAAGATGTAATAATTGAATGGCGACTTTGTTTTCTGATGTTGTTAACAAAAGAATGTTATAGTCTGTATTACAAAAAACCCATCATCCTATCACGTTAGCTTCAGTGATGACAAGAATCGCTTCGACAACCGTGTATTATGATATACATAGAATCAGAGCACGGGCGACTACCTGTCCAAGTTGCGTCCCTTAGTCGTGCAACTCTCAAAGTTACAACACAACCATCTCAGCCCCTCACCCGCATAGCCTATTGCAACCTGCTAGGCAATATTTAGAGAATCAACAGATTATATCGGAATGTAGTGTACCGTGATACCACAAAACTCAAATTCAACGTTGTCAAAATAGTTTAAGAAGCGTTCGTATAATCTGACGTATATATCAAGCGGTTATCCACATCGGCGCTCAGTTGCCTTGCCATGATTCTGAGGTGAGGTGAAATGGGGTTTAACGTCGCGCGCGTTTGTGTGTCTGTCCGTACTAATTTTTCGTACTAAAAATCCGTACTAATGCCGATTTTATGGCTCTAGCCCACTGACATAGTATACTGACTCCGAGCCGACCAGGCAGGGTAACAACATGTATCATCTTTTAATGTCTTTTGGTATGACGCGGCCGGGGATCGAACCCCTAACCTTCCGGTCTCCGGGCGGACGCTCTACCACTAGACCACGGAGGCGGTCTCGTGATTCTGAAGAGATAGTAGTTGTGCTGTTTCAGGGTGGGTGGTTGTAGACAAAGGAGAAGTAGTTGCAGCAGTGGTCGTGAAGCAGTTATAAACATGCATATCCACCATCACAAATAATACATTTAAGGACAACATATTTGTAAGGTAGCGTTTTCATGCGGAATTATTTAAACGAATCGATTTTCATCCTCCTTGGAGTATTAAATCAATATTTAACTCGGTGGGGATATTGATTCTGGAGCTAATAGCTGGAACTCCTTTATTATTTATTCCACTTTTTACAAGCATTGCATATGTTTTATACTTAATACAATATACGTGGAGAAATACAGCCCACGGTAACAGATCTACAAGATTACCTTCTCTCGTGTTCAATGTAAGTTAGATATATCTTATTCACAAATCAGCTATTGAAAAGCTTACGATCTAACACCCGTATTTTCAAAGACAGTACGTTTTATTCACCACGTTGTCACAAGTCCTATTCACGGGGACAAGAATGGGCTAGATATCAAAATACATATCTATCGCGTCCCCCAAAATCCCGCGAATCACGTGACTGCATCGATCTATTGATATCCACCGAGGCCTGACTTCCCATTGATTTTTATCAAAGGAAATACCGAGCACTGTGAAAGACTATTGACACTTTGTTGGCGGGTCTATCAGGTAATTCGCTATGGGCCTTCGTCATAAATGAAGTATTTAACTATCTCAATGCTAGTATTTACCTCGACACAGCGTTATGCCAGTAATCAAACGAAACATCTATACCGGTGTTGTTTGCCTGGGAGACGGGCCACGGGTGCCTGCGTTACTGTTACTCGGTTCTCTCAAAGGCTACAAATGTCACACAATTGAGCCCGGATTTCATAGATTTCGGAATACCAAAAATGGTGAGTGTTAGAACACATTTCTGCTGTTAAATATGTCGATATGTTGACACATATTTAATTGTGGGTAAAGCTTTCCCAATGTCATACAATGGCAACTGCTAACAAAAGTGTCAACGGATTATAGATATCAGAACCCAATAGTATTGGTGCATCAAAATGATCATTTTCTTTCAAACACATTTATTTTGAAAAATGTTTAGCTTATATATATTTATTTTGATAAATGACATATGTATATACACTTTGCTATAAATTATCCAAACTGACAAATATTTATTACAATGAGTATTACAACGTGTGTATTTAAACCTCTTACTGTGTTATTGAAGTCTATCTAAATATGACGAGTTCTTAATGTCAAGTTTGATATCATGTCTAACTTACCCACTTTGCACAAGCTGTTGCACGTGTTGATAAAGGAAACGTTTCCGGAAAGAAGCGTCAGGAAATGACAAAGATTAAATAAACCGATACTGAGGAAATATGAAATAGATAGAAATTTGAAATGTGAAATATAGACATGGCTCGCGTAATAATTTACATTCCAAGATTTATAAATATATTCTCGAAGATAATGTAAATTAAACTCTGCTTTCTGGTGTGGGTGGGGGGGGGGGTGGGGTGGGGTGGGGGGGCGGGGGGGGGGGGGGAGAGGGGGGGGGGGGGCGGGGGGTATGTAAAAATGACGTTTTCTTTCAACAGTCTGCACCACCGTTCATTGCGATGGATTGCTCAAAAGCATTATATATAAGCTTGTCAACATAATGGATGTTTGTAAATATCTATGTGTGTACATGTTTATATATCCATATACTCGTCATGAAATTTGTCCCTGCGGCCAAGAGGAAATCCTTTGTGCTGAGCTTGTTCGAGTCGCCTTCGCCTGTTGTACCATGAATCAACCAAATGCCCTTGTGTCTTTGCTTAAAAATGTCTAGTAGATCAATTAATATCACGAGAGTCAGAAATGCACTATTCTATTTATCTTTAGGATAGTGCATTTCTGACACTCGTGATATTTTTATCTAGACATATTTAAGCAACGACACAAGGGTCTGTATGATCACCTGGGGGCTTTGCATTATGCAGAGTTGATTCCATTACCTCCGCCAGGATCCGCTGGTTGTTCTGATAACGACGCTAGACCGTCTACTCGTTCTCATTATGACACCTATATTCATATATTATTGACAACTGCAGGGACACTGGTGACAGTCGACTAGGGCGCACAATTTACAGTGAAGAGTTGCGTCCCTTAGTCTTGCCAGAAAAATGGCATGGGTTCGAATACCAGATTCTCCCTGTTTATGTTTCTAGGTTTGTCAGCTCCATACCGAAGCTCCTATCTGCTGTGATAACAATAAATATTATAGCATACCGTCACTAAATTACCGCTTCTTCAGGCAATGTTCGCGTTCCCTCACTGAACCAATGCGTTGGCTGGCTGTTCCTTAGCGTAAGTGGCGTTCCCGCTGCAATTCGCTGTGAAGAGTTGCGTCCCTTCGTGTGCCAGAATCCGAAGATCGTTGGTTCAAATCCAAGATTCGCCATCTGAAATAAAGCGGCTGTAAACTCAAGTCACCCTCTCACTGATTCATCTCAATGATTTACGGCATCTTGGGTCATAACTGTGTCAGTTGACACAAAGCCTCAAGTCCTTCGCTTGACCTACAGGTATAAACCTTTCAGTGCTGAGAACTAATAGTGCTGGCTGACAGTTGATGTGATGGTCACAATAAACACTACAACACATTTATTTATAATGATCGATCCATGTTGGCGTTCTCCACAGCAATGGCTATCCCAAAGGGGGATGTGCGTGAGTATGGAGGAAAAAAAACAACAATAAAAATAACACATTGTACAATAAAGTTTCACTGGCGACCATGTATAGTTTGGAAGGACGTTTCATGGCTACTTCTTGTCCCTTCGATAACCCGATGATAATCTGATGCAGGGACAAGAAGTAGCCCTGAAACGTCGAAGGAAGGAAGGAACGACAGACGGACGGACGGATGGGGATGGATGGACGAATGGATGCGGCCGCGGTCAATCCATCCAAACCTATCCGAACCAACCCCACCTTTGTCTAGACTGTACATCAGATGTGAGGACCGGGGAGTCGCACAGCCCCGCCCCCACCTTTACTAGACTATACATCAGATGTGAGGACCGGGGAATCGCACAGCCCCGCCCCCACCTTTGTCTAGACTATACCTCAGATGTGAGGACCGGGGAATCGCACAGCCCCGCCCCCACCTTTACTAGACTATACATCACATGTGAGGACCGGGGAATCGCACAGCCCCGCCCCCACCTTTGTCTAGACTATACATCAGATGTGAGGACCGGGGAATCGCACAGCCCCGCCCCCACCTTTGTCTAGACTATACCTCAGATGTGAGGACCGGGGAATCGCACAGCCCCGCCCCCACCTCATCTACAATTACCCGTCTCGATTCCCGCATGCTACAAGGGTGAATATTGGATAGCTTATCGAGAAGGATAATCTAGATTAAAGTTATAGATGTGTGGTTATTTAATCAGTGTGGCTCTTCGTGAGTATATCTGACACCTTTCTGTCACCCTTTGTTTGATTTAGTACAAAATACACTGTTTGGCTACATATCATCTTCTTCTGGACGTAGGCAAATTGTTTTATCAATATTATCAAGAAGTGGAACATTGGCATTTCATGAAAAAATATCGAGAATTTATCTGATATGTTAAGAGTCTTTGCATATTAGTATATTCATTTGTCAGAACGATTTTTATGCAGGTCGAACACGATCTACTTTAAATGCGTTTTCGTTTGGGAGGAATATTTTACCTAAACAATTTATTGATATACTTTTAAAGTGTATATTAACATATATTCACATTACATTTGTTTCAAATGTTTGACTCAGCGTAACTGACAATTCAGCAAGATAATACATGACACCAGTGTACAACTATTGACGTCGCCTCTAAGTACAATTAACAGCTCAGCGTGGCATCGCACTACTCAATACCAATCTTTATACGAAATCGGTTATATTCATTTAATACTGTCAATGTCAATCTTCGGCTCAATATTTATTGCAAATGAACTTCTACGTCGAGCACAAAATACTATCTTATCGTTACAGCTGTCTAAAGAGTGATTTACAACAACTTCTGATCCCAACAGACAAACTCAGACTTGAGGATCGTGTTCGTTGAAGAAGCACAAGTGTAATCCCTCAATCGATTCCATGCCGACTTGAATAACTCACATAACACATATCGATAAGCGCGATTTCACGACAACCAAAGGGGGGTAATTGCTTTGGATTGGGAATATATTTACAACATTGAAGTTTTAAGGACTCGCAGGTAAGTCTATCGCCGTCGTTTTAGTTCACGTCCAACTTTTGTTACAAATGGAGTTTTATATCAGGTTGCGTGTGAATAGTGTGGAAAGAGCATTTACATTGATAACCTTTGTCAGCTTTGAACAGTTTCAGCAGAACGGGAGAAAGGGGGGTATATATGGTTCGGGAAATGAGTAACGCAAAACGTGCACAAATCTGTTTTGAGTAGTTGGACAAATAGGCATGGCAAATAAACCAGGTTTTAAGACTGAGAAGTATTGTTAACACGTGGAAATGGTACCTGTCAGTTGTGACGGTGTATGGGTATGAACAAGCTGCTTCAGATTTTTTTAATGCAACACTTTGTCATGCGACGAAACATAGAGAGCCACGAACACAGCTCTGTCTATTGAAGCATTCCGGCCCACTCGGATATTTCCTTACTACATAATACCTCGCAGCAATGGAATTGCGGTGATGCATGATTTCACTTTAAACCGCATACCGATTGTTCGCATCTATACTACTCTCTTATTTCATATTATTATCGTAATATGAAAGGCCTGGGTGGTCCGTAACTTCTTTTAACTTGTATGTATTTCGTACACCATGACGGCCGATTTGAGAAAACCCTGTTTTCATGGCTTTTAGAAATTAAGTATAGATACACATATATAAATACATAACGGCAACGACTACTGGGGAATTATGTTGTGTTATGTAATAGGCACATGAAGTAGTGAAACTAGTTTATTCATTTCCAATATGGATGACCTGTGGGGTTGAAGAGAGGCGAGTGTCTATTGGGAGACGATCTCAAAAAGGAGGTCGGTAGGCGTAAAAAAACACATTATACATTGATTAATACTGATCATTGAGCATAGGATCAATATTGTCAAGTTGAGTCTAATTTGATCTTGACATTTGTATTAAGTTAAGGATTTGTGAATCACACGTGATGTAGTGTATGTATGTGTGGGTGATACAGCAACCATTAGACACGCTAAGAGGGGTCTCCGTTGTCTTAGGCGACGCAGTTTTGTGTTCAGAGTTGCTTCCCTTAGACGTGCCAGAAACCAATGGTCGAGGGTTCAAATCGCGGTTCGACCTGATTATGTGTCTTGGTTTGTCGGCACCATACCAGTACGTGTGGATTTTACGTGGTAAACGTTTGATACCTGCTTCTGGCTTTCCTCACCCAACAATCCGTGATATAACTGAAGTGATGTAACAAGCAGCGTTAAACCAACTCACTCACTCACTCTTGACGAAAAGTGTATCTGCCATTTGGGTTAATTCATTTGTGTCTTTACGTAGTTGTATACCTAGAAAGTATCATTCTAGAGTATCTACAGAGTCCCTACGTGGGTCAGTTGGGTTTGTTGCTGCCTTGTACGTCATCCATAGGCGTAAAGGTATTCAGCTCTTGGCCGTTTACAACTTTGGAACCACACGAGCACGTGTATGGTACTGAGACGCCACGAGTCTGGAATTCCAACCCACGAATAAAAGAACCGTGCCCCTATGGGACAAAACTATCGCCGGTACAATGCCGGTAAAGATGTTTTTGTTTTTTTATAAATTAGTATGTAGGACTTCTTTTTGTTACAAAGACCATATTTTACAGGTTTCCTATGAGTTTGTTATATCGAGGTACATGTTCTCTATCCATAAAGGGGCGGTCGGGTAGCCTAGTGGTTAAAGCGTTCGCTCGTCACGCCTGAGACCCGGGTTCGATTCCCGACATGGGTACAATGTGTGAAGCCCATTTCTGGTGTCCCCCGCCTTGATATTGCTGGAATATTGCTCAAAGCGGCGTAAAACCATATTCACTCACTCACTATCCATAAAAGTCGATTCCCCACATGGGTACAATGTGTGAAGCCCATTTCTGGTGTCCCCCGCTGTGATATTGCTGGAATATTGCTAAACGCGGCGTAAAACCATATTCACTCACTCACTCACCCACTCACCCACTCACCCACTCACTCACTCACTCACTCACTCACTCACTATCCCTTAAAGCCTGGTTGGGATTTACTGGTGGAATAGATCCCAGGTCAAGTACGTGTCATCGTGTCCTTCCTGGTGACATGGGTTTAACTGATGCCTTCAGTCACTGGATTGTCTGGCCCAGACTCGATTACTTACAGGCTGCTGTGATACAGCTAGGATGTTTGAGCGGCGTTAAACAACATTCACTCATTCGTTCTACATCGTGCCTTCTATGAAACCTATCATGGTATCTGTAATCATAACAACCAGACATGCACCGCTGTTTATTGATTAAATATCTAACTACACGGCATGGAGTTAAGTGATCTGACACGAATATGATCTTAATAAAACGTTGTATTTATCGAACACTGTCGACGCATGAGATACGTGGATTACCGTACCATGAGCTCAAGTAACAGCTGAAATATTTATCGACCTACAAAAAAGGTGTAACCTTTCCGTGCCTAGTTACAGGGAGCGCAGTTGTTGTGAGGATATTGATTAAAACAATTTGAGACTGACTGCTGAGAAGGGGGTTGACGTTTGACGTTGGGTATGTATATATTTTCGTTGTAAACGTTCATTGAATAATATGCTTTATTTACGTCTTGATAATGAAGATACCGTTATGTTTGATACGTCACGCACCTGTGTAATCGATGCCGCGTATGAGTCGATGTTTTGTGTGTAGGTACACATGTAAATTAAACAAATCGAAATCCATGCTAGTTTACACCATATCAAACTGTCATCGGATATTTACTTTTAGAATAGTTTTATTTGTGAACTAGATTCCTCTACAAACATCCTTTTACATCATAAATTATATTGAATATCACTACATATAGAAAAGTACCTTTCTTTGGGAAATTCGGCAAAACAGATCCGATGTATTGACAAATGAATTACAATCTTGAAAAACGTGTTCCCCTTGAGCAAGTCATGTAAGGAATTATCGGTGTCCACTAGTTTGATCTCATTGCTGATTTTTTCGGAAACAATCATGTTTTGTTTCATTAAACGTATACCACATCGGCGAAACCACGTTGCACGTGTATAGTACTGATAAACCAAGGTTCATAATCGCGCTAAATCTAAGATTCGAACCAGGGTGATCGGATCCTGGAACGACAAAGACGACTTGGCCACCCTGGATTGTATTATTGACTTTCAGGAAACATACAAAGTAGACAAAGTTGGTGCATGTTTCTTGTGGAAACAATACAATTTCTGTGTGCACGATGAAAAAGACCAGGGCCCATTCACCAGAGACCATAAACTAAATATATTTTGTTACATCTGCTCTCACTTCGCGGAGACGTGATCCCTATTGTTCAATAATGTTCGACTGACTTGGTTAAAGTAACAATATCAAATTCAGCCAAGTATATGTACATATATATGCGATGTCAAAACGAAATCACCGTCTCAACTTCAGTAGTCAGTCGGGTTAGGGACATTTCAAAATCTTTAGCCCGACCGAAATTTTGCAAGCAACGACAGCGTTAGAAATTGGCACACTGGATGCCACACGGGGACACCGAATAGGCGAATATGACAACACAATTACAGCTTATTCCGGTCAGTCTGTGAGTATACAAGTATAAGATCCGGGTAGAGAATATGTCTTCAGCAACCCATGCTTGCCGTAAAAGCATTCGTGACTAACTCGTGTTATTCCGGGACAAGCCGAATAGTGACTCGTGCCCCTCTCGTGGCCATTTTTGCGACCGGGTTCCGTCTTAGCGCAAACGGGCATACCTAAAACAAACTCGTTGCGTGATGGTTCACATATATTTCCCCATATAATATATATATATTTCAGATGCAATTATAAGCACATCGGGACATGCGGAAATCATACCGTATGATTGAACATATTTAACTGTGTCTTGGGTATAATTTTAGATGCAAGACATAAGTAAAATCAAAAAAATATTTCTGAGGGATTCTTTGACGAAGAACTTGAAATCATACGCGCATTCTGATTGGTTTGTCGAGTCTTCTTGTAGGTTACGGAAAGGGGCGAGTGGTGACGAGTGGCCGTAAAACAACAACTAAATAAGTATACCAGTCCGACTTTGACAATCCAGTGATCGCTAGTATGAGTATGGATTACGATAACACAATCTGCGGGTCATATCAGATTCATTCGGCTCACCTCTGTCCTCTAGGTCACCTCGGACAGCATAGGGGATCTCCATATTGGAACTCCGTTCACTTATTCACGTGACTTTCTTTACACAACATCAGCTGGCGGCAGATACTAGTGTATATATATCAAATGTATCATCATTTCAATGGCTGTTAAGTATAAAAAGGCTTCTCTGAAAATCAGCTATATGCGGAGAAATCGATTGATATATGGTTTACAGTGTAATCGTGCAATATCTCTACAGTACTCCTTTGTTGCCCGAAGTATCACGAAAGTTGCGGAATAGGCCGAGTGGACCCGAATGCATTTGATTCTCAAACTTTGCAACCCTCACGGGTTGGGATACCTGATACCTTCTTGCCCAGAACACTGACACAAACTACATAAACTTGTTGACCAACTACCAACAGACAGACAGGCAGACAGAAATACAATTCATTTATCAATGTCTTATCTCATATCAAAAATACATGTGATTCAGATCCACTTGGAGATGACAGTTTCAGGCGCCACCTGATGAGGGTCATGAGACACGATAATATCTGACATTAAAAAGGCAAAATCGTAAATATTTACAAATAACTATTTACTTATCTCACCTTTTTTAAAACGTAATATCATGTTAAACAAGACTACATCAATATCCATTGAAACATGACACCAAATATTCAGCAATAAGTAATAGCTGGAAGCGCTCGTAAAATCTTCAGAAAATACGTATTCAAGAATGAAAAACTTAAATCAGACACAGCTGGAAGCCTGATACGCTGGGACACTTTCAAATATACATACAAATATAGAAATGATATGATTTTATATACGGCTGTAAAAACAAAATAACAATGAAACTCTGTTAATCAGGAAACTCCGCATTCCGGACGAATGTTGCGTGGACCCTCTGTATATTCTAAACAGAACATTGCACTCTGTATACCACTGATTGCTTTATACGGAAAATTGTTAATCATGACGATTTCACGTGCGGATTAAGAGTTAAGATTGATAGTCACATCGGCAGCTATATGGCCGTCCGTATTTACGGGGTTTAACGGTGTATCTTAATCTTCACCTTTGTTCAAAAGAATTATACCAATCCCCGAGATTTATCTGTAAACAGAGAAGCCATGTTTTCCTGAGGTTGGTAGACTATCGCGGCGATCGCCGTTACAGAACCGCTAATGTGACGAAAACCAAAGTGATCTCTCTTTACTTCCCCTTATTGCACGGAACCATACCCCGTGGAAATGGAAAATACACCTATTGTATGGGAAAATGCGAAAAACATGTATTGTGGGGGTAAATGGGAAATTGATGTATTGAGTGGAAATGGGAAATACATGTTTTGTTAGGAAATGCGAAATACATGTGTTGCGTGGGAAAATACATGCATGGCAATTTATTCAAAGTGTGTTTTTGGTTTACCGTGAAATTGGTATTTTTTACATACGCCTGAAATTGCTAAGGTTTATATTATACATTTCGCTACAATAATGAGAGAGACATTCTTTATATGGCTGCACTTGATTCGTAACCCGACAGTAGGACCGGCGTGTGCGACAAGATTCGACTATTCTACACATTGCCCGGATTTCGTTGTCACGTGACACACAATTAGATCATCTCAAAATGCGTCTCGCATGCAACATACGGATGCACTTGGTGAAGAGTTTCTTGTCTGTTGCAGTATCGTCATCGAGGCCTGGAGCCTGGTGTGGTAGACATGCAGAGAGCGGCGGCAACGAGTACAGGGTCCATGCTTGTTGCACCGTTCATGGACGACAACGAATACGTGCCACAACCCCCGCCTCCTCCATTCAACGTGAAGAAAGATGTGAGTTTTATTTTGTCTATGTGCTCTGTTGAACGAATTATTAGACATAAACCAAATATTTAAGTAAGCATCGGTGGTACAATACGACTTCCGGTTATCCGGGGCGAATATTATTCATTCAGCCCGGGATAGAAAATGAAAAAGTAAAACCAAAGTCCGGCGCAGTGGTGACTTAGCATAACTCTGGGTCGGAGAGTGAAGAAAAACATAAAACAATCATGGCTTACGCTTAACCGAGAACGTCTGCTCCGCAGCAATCAATCCCGGTCTAGCCGGAAGTCATGTTTGAATTGATATTACAAAGCTGAAAAACAGTGAAATGTAACTATGTCAATATAGAGTGAGTGCCAGGGGAATGGATGAAATAATCAATATTTTATTGACCAGAGGCCTTGGTACTCTGCCGCCTGTCTGAGTGTCATACACGGAGATTGTGAGATTGCATTAACAGAAAGTCAGAGGAGACTGGGACAAAGCATTTAATGGAGTATTCAGTGGAGATAACAACTTCCGGTCCTTGGAGAGATTTCCGAGAAGTGAACATTCAGCAGGGGTCACCGGAAGAGAAAAATCAATAAAACTGACATGGAGTTGGATGTTCTTAATATCAAGTCTTTGTTTGTCAACCCACTTGGATACACGCTGAGCGTGGTTTTATACATTGGAGTTAGTGAGTGAATTGTGTATGCCGCCACATTCACAATAGTCCACCTACATCATGACGGCCCTTCAGTCACCGTCTGGACCAGATAACGTATACCGCTATCGGAGTTAAGGGGAGGTTAGACTTGCTCCAGTTGAGAGTTCCATCATATTTCTGTCAAGCCCTTAAAGAATAATTTTGTTTTTCTGATAGCTCAAAAGTTATGATGAACGTCAATCTAAACTGCCTGGCAATAGAAAGTATGCACTTGAAAATAGGATGTGAGAAAAAGAATTACAGTTATGAAAACGTTACTTGGCTGAAGACAGTCGTCGAAACACTACGAACTTACGGTAGTGATACCCGTATCAAATACATCACCATCGAGTAACCATTTCTTGTCAGTTTTATTTTTAGCCGCCATCAAACGTGGGTGTAAACGTACTTTTTGCCCAAAGGTTTAGTAGCTATTGTAGTTTATGAAACGTAAGTCCATCTTTTGCCCAGAGGTTTAGTAGCCGGTGTAGATAATGAAACGTAAGTCCATCTTTTGCCCAGAGGTTTAGTAGCCGGTATAGATAATGAAACATAAGTCCATCTTTTGCCCAGAGGTTTAGTAGCCGGTATAGATAATGAAACATAAGTCCATCTTTTGCCCAGAGGTTTAGTAGCTGTTGTAGTTTATGAAACATAAGTCCTTCTTTTGCCCAGGGGTTTAGTAGCTGGTGTAGATAATGAAACATAAGTCCTTCTTTTGCCCAGAGGTTTAGTAGCTGGTGTAGATAATGAAACATAAGTCCTTCTTTTGCCCAGGGGTTTAGTAGCTGGTGTAGATAATGAAACATAAGTCCTTCTTTTGCCCAGAGGTTTAGTAGCTGGTGTAGATAATGAAACGTAAGTCTATCATTTGCCCAGAGGTTTAATAGCTGGTGTAGGTAATGAAACATAAGTCCATCTTTTGCCCAGAGGTTTAGTAGCTGGTGTAGGTAATGAAACATAAGTCCATCTTTTGCCCAGAGGTTTAGTAGCTGGTGTAGATAATGAAACGTAAGTCCTTCTTTTGCCCAGAGGTTTAGTAGCTGGTGTAGATAATGAAACGTAAGTCCTTTTGCCCAGCAGTTTTGACTGGTGATTGATACACTGGATAATGGAAGGTGCCCTTTATGTAAAACATCTGGACAAAGAAAGAAAACGCCTCGTTGTTATAGGGCGCGCATTACGGTATCTAGACCGTGCAGGAGACCGTGTAACACAATACGCCTTTAAGAAAGTTACTTCACCAGAACGCGTCTGCTGGGCAGAATTCTCTCACCTTCCGTACGCTAACAATGATGCATCATGCACCACGAGTTTGACTGTTGTTACACGAGTCGAAGAAAGAGCTGGCGAACCCTGTGTCTGTCTCGCCTAATCCCCCTACAACAGGACGGATTACGCGGAACCTGGTCTATCTCATCCATGTCGTTTATACACGTCATCTCAAAGCGTTCATATAACTGTTCAGGGTTGAGAATCGTGGCGCTGTGATCCAGCAACAATCCAGCTTAAGCCTTAGTTGTTATACTGGGAACCTCACTTGTGTTGCAATGTCACGGTCAAGCCTTATACACGTATTTTCAAGTTATGAGGATCCAAAATAGCCTTGCGTACGTAAGAACTTAAATAATACATTAGTACACAATATACTGTGGATAATACTGACACATTAGTACACAATATACTGTGGATAATACTGACAGATTAAATTCTCAACGCGTTGGAGTAGGATTGTCAGATGTTGATGGTGGCTACAACGTGACCAGTTGTCATGGTAACTCTGTATTCCTTCATCTGTACAAGGATGGATGTTGGAATTGGTTTAACTGTTAACATTGATATTAAGGTTGCTTTTGCGTGATTACATTGCTTGAATATATATCAGTACTTAATAAATATTTGTGTGCTGTTATTACACACATTTAGTGTCTGACGTGAACCGAAACAAACAACGAATCACAATGCAAGAAAATAATTTGAAACCTTGTTTTGAAAAAGTAAAAACATAGAGTAACTGTTTCATGAGATTTATTGCTTTCGAAACACAAGTGAGGAAGACGCAAAATTCATCGGATTTTGTATGTTTTCGAAAATTGGGATAGGGACTCACTCCAGTCTAGAATACGAACTAGTTTCGTGAGATTTGTAGTCTGTCATACAGACCCTAAAACAAATATATCCAATACAGCCCATGCAAGTCTATATGATTTGGCAAGTCTAGAATAATATCTCTGGGCTCCTTTTTGTTAGCTTTTATGACTATAATTGAACAACTGTTTGTTTTTTTGTGAAAGAAATAGTTCATTTCAGAGGATGGATGTAAATCTATCAGATTTGATACCTTTATTTATTTATATTTTTTTCAAAAACATTCCACACTTTTTTAATGCTTCTATTAAAAGTAAAATACACTAATCCCTATTGTTTTCATCATTTTACATTTTTCACTGGCAGGCCATTTATACTACACTAATCCTTTGTTAGTGGCTCGTTGTAAACTGAAACCCTTTGTTAGTTCGATTTTTTTGTTAATTTGAGATATTAAAACCACTATGAAACAAATCCTTTACCATGACAATTTCATAATATTTAAGATTAACATTCCCATTGTCACTTAATCCAACCCCGTACTGCAAACCAACATTAACATGAGTTTCACTCTGTCGCTTTAATGTGTTTTTTTAAATATAAAAATATTCATAGCGAATGGAAATTTTCTCAAAAAGGAATACCACATAAAAATGCCTAGATTAACATTTTTGCTTCCAGATTATAGTTAGAAACACGAAAATAGAGTCCGTTTCCATGGATACCATTTTACGTGAGAAACACGCATTATTTGAAATACAACAGCCAACTTCGATTCGAATTCCCTGTAAACATGTTGATTGGCTTAAGCTTTAGGAATAAAGGTCTTACAGAAAGGTATCGGTTTTGAGGAAGTTGTCAGGGCAAGTGTACTGTAATGTCTTCAACTGAAACCTATTGTTATTTAGAAAGTTATGTTAAGTAACAATGGGTTTCCGGAAGCAGCAATTTAGGGAGAGTCCTGTAGTTCAAAGCCATTAGTATTATTAGGTTGAATGAGCAGCAAGGGTGAATGGCCTTAAATCATGATCTTGACGTTGTAAAGACATTTTAAGTACCCGAAGCTAAGCCCAGCTATGAGAGTTAGGGGAGCAGTGTAGTAACGTGACAATAGGCAGTGATGTCACGAGTCCCATTGATCTGTTTGCTCGGTGAAAAAATAAAAATACGCATATGTTCATCTGTTTGGCGTGTAATGCATGGATAAATATACAATGTGATATGTTTCATATCATCTTTGTATTTCAACATGTATTTTGAGATCGAGGACAACATAAATTATAACTGGTTGTTTTCTTTACGTTTAACTTTGAAAAACAGATTCGTATTAGTCAGTTTAACGTAGAATTTCAACAACAATTCAACTTCATTGCAACTTTCAGCATACAGTGACACCCCGTTAATTCTAGACAATAACGAAAACCCCGTTTAACTGGCAAAATGTTTCAGATGCCTCGCATATGGAAAAAATAGGAAGAAAATAATGTGCCACTCTTCTGCCAAACAATACAGTTCGTTAATATATTTAGTTGAAAAATATAATTGAGTGCCTGTTTATGTTGGAACAAATGATAGAGTTCCTGAACGTTAAAAATTATACTGCTGATCTGCCCTCCAAATGACAGCTCCCAAAGTGTCTGGAAATCGGGGTTCAGTATTAACGGGGTCCAGACTAACCAGGTGTCACTATGGAGGGCGTCTCACGCTACCCCGACCCTCTTTGTATCGCACGCGCGCGTCACTCTTAAATCATCCAGCGCACAGCTTGGGCATTCGAGGTTGAATTGTCGATTGCTAATCGCTTATGAGATGGTTCGTTTGGTAAACTGATTCCATTGTGTTTTGTATTTTGGCAGGTGAATTACAAGAAGTCCAACCGGTTCAGTAACCACGACAACAGAAACGCCTTTCAGGACCACGGCGTGTACCTCGGAAATGTAAGTTCGAGTTTGTCCTCGTAATGGTTCATTGTTCATACGGCGGAGAGATGATGGTTACAACGACGAATTCACATTAGTAGTCAGACGGCAGATAATTATATTAAATGTTCAGAAATTCAGTTTTAAATACAAGTTGTGTTGAATTTTGAAACGTATTTCATGACATCCTAACTTTTTTAAGCTATATTTTTTTAAGTCGGCACTGAAACAAAACAAAAGTAAAGTGCCTAAAGCTTAGATTTGCCTGAGCCAAAGGGTATTTTCATTGTTGACTTTAATTCTGTCTAATCGGAGGGAGCGGGACAGGTTACCGATTCTAGGTCTCATTTCCAAGCTTGCTCTTCACTTTCAACGGGTCGTATCTCATTAGCATACCACCGTTTATCACGTGACCACGAACGGGCAATGGAAAGTTAGAAAGCAGCGTAAGGCACTGAAATGACGTCACAGGAGGAGCTCATGGTTCACAAGCCTGTTGGTTTTTTTTAGATTAATTCCATTTTAATTGTGTGTTACACGTGATCTAGTGAAGAGATACCATGAAGTTGTTTAATTAATCTGGTGGTTATTTTAAAGATATTCATGTGACATAAAACAAAAAGGAAAGTAAGTAAAACCACGGACCTATATAACAAGTTATTCAAGTCCGTAGTGAAACAGCATGCAAATATTTGTTTTTAGTTAAATATCAAAGGTCACTACTAGGCGGTCATTTGGAATAGTTCTCGGATGGGAATATATTGAAGGTATGTTGCACATTTAGCGTAGTCTGTCTTCAAGACCCGAGAGGATGAATTGAAAAAGGAATCCAACTCAGTTTCTAGGACGATTCGGCAAGGCTAGATCCCTCAGCGTCTGAAATTATGCTTTGTTCTGGGCTCCATTTGGATTTTATTTTAGTTTGTAGATATATATTTTAAAATAACTTAATTGTATTTCTGGGACTTAATGTTGGTATAATTAGGCCACTATTGTTCAGACAGTTATGAAAGTATTGGTATATAAGCTAACTATACCATACCATACCATACCATACCATACTAGACACAAAGGAAAACGAAACTACAAGATTTCGTCACAATCACCATTTCTTGGATTAATTAAGCTATAATTTTTTAACCAGAAACCATTTACAATTACTATATGTTGTCTCTGGTTAACACGCTAAATCCTCCTCATTCAGTGACGCGCGCAACTATTCCTGACATCACGCGTTCACATCAACGTTCCAACGCTGAAATTAGAAGCGCTGAAATGTTTCTTTTTCTTTTTCACTATAAGCATTGCGTCATATTTGCGTCTAAATTTAGAGTGAGTGATTTGGGTTAAACGCCGCTTTTAACAGTATTCCAGTTATATTGTGGCGTGTCAGCTTAATGTGGGAGGAAAGCCCAAAGTGATGCAGGTCTCAGACGTTTACCACTTCGGTGAAACCCACGAGCACGGGTATGGTGCTGACAAACCTAGAAACATAATCGGGTCGAACCGGGATTCGAACCCACAATCATAGGTTTCTGGCGTGTCCAAGGCACGCAACTCCGCACAGCGAATTGTGGCGCCTTAGACGACTGGGCCACCCCAGGTCACGTCAGAACGACCTTTCGCAAACAATGACAGACCACTGAAATGATTAACAAGAGTCGACAACAGAAGACAGCTTTCTCAACATTACCGCACTAGTTCCTAACTAGCGACTTCCATTCCAAATCATCAGATCTTTGTTTGGCGAGAGCTTGGACCTGATTTTAATGAGACTACGTTTAAATCGGACGATGTACCTTTAATTCTTCCATCAAAAACGAACATCCCCAAGAGCAACGCCATTGCACAGCATTCCCGCTCAATCGATTGGGCTGTGTAACAGTGTGAGATAACTTAATACTGGAGATGTATTAATTTACTATTAAATGTCACTTTGTAGGGAACGCCTCGGTGTTGCTGCATCTTTAGTGTGATCTCTATAAATATAAATCAGTGTGGGTTGTGCTCTAAATTATGTTTTTGTTTTTAAAGGGTCGCGAAACAAGGCTTCTTGGTCGACGTCTTCTCAGCAGTCACCAACCCCTCCACCAAACCACCAGTGGCTTCCTCTCCCACCAAACGATGCAGCCGATACAGGTCGATCAGAACAGCTTATACACAGCTTCGTTTCTCGGCCATCCAACAAGAGAGCCCCCAGTTCACCGGAGATTCCCGAAGGCTTACAAAGAACCCCGGGAAGGAACGATTACACTCGACACATCCACACCAAGCTGGTTCAAGACTCCAGAAGTTCCCTATAGAACACCTCTTCATGTTCTAGCTGTGACACAGGAACCCTTCGTAGAACATAATCCGTGGAAGTATTCAAATAATGCTCTCAAGCGAGTTTACCCACCGTATGACAGAAAAAGCGAACCTGTTGTGAACAATACCTTTAATCGGTATGGAGCTGCTTTTGCCGACAAATGCTCCAGTGGCCACAGGCGGTCTCAGATATAGTCATTGTTTCTTTGAGCGTGTTATCTTACTGTATTCGTAAAATTATAAAGTCAGTGGTTTTAAAATGGATTTCGATATGATTATTTAAAGTAGGCTTTCGTAATGCGACAATAAAGCCACCCTTAGTTGTCAGAGAATCACGTCAGTGTCTGAGTAATGTCATATGTTTGTTTCCTGTTTCGGTTATATTATTGAGATGCGCTTGCGCAGGGTTTTTAAAGAAAACTAGTATGTGTGCAAAATAAGACATGGATTTCTGTTAATATCCGGTTAATGTGACCTGACCACATGTTTGAGAATCGCGTATTAATATATTGTGAATGAAGGAAACACAATCTGAGTACAGTTTCGAATTTCGTTGTACAAACAGGAAATGATCTTGACTCTTTCCTTGAAAACGGACTTTGATTATGATATAATATAATATAATATAAAATATTTTCGATTTCTTTCGATTGTAGTTTTATTAAGATCAGATATCGAAATATTTCGTTCAGATTATGGTGTTATACACATTTTACATGTCTACCAATTTTGGACACTGGTGGTATTTCATGCTGATCTGTTTTCGACATAGAACAGTTCTTGGAACAAACTAGTTTTCATCCTCTTTGGTATATTTTCTATCCACCCAAAGAGCTGTCACTTTCGAAACTTACAAATATCGTTTTCTGGAAGGGAATTGTGAAGTAATTCATTTCAAATAATTTCTATGTAGTATATTTTTGTTGTCAATGACGTATTTTTGATCACACGAATTGAATATGAACAGATTAAAGTTTGCCTGCCGATAACATTGGGTGCCCCTCCTTAAAACTGAAAGGGTTACACAACACTCGAACATCATATAACGTTGCTTGATCCAGATTGGTTTCTTTTCGAGACAGGAGTTTGGGGGCACTAATTGCCTGGTTCAGACAATGTGTATTGTTTCGCTTTACGTAATACACATTCTAAAGACACACGGAGAAGGCCATTCACTGTTTTAACCGCCAGTATTACACTGTATGTATTATTCTTATTTTCTGTGATATATTGAAAAGCACACGCCTACGTCGGCATAAGACGTTGTTAATTTAATTAAACAATTTTTCACTATTATTATTGTGTTATCTTTTAATACGTCTGAAATGTGGCATCTTAAATATACCCTATTACCTACTCAAGATAAGCAACGTCAATTTACAAAGGGTGGAAGGGTGACATTACACTGCGGTGGTATTTGACACGATATTGATATGACAAGTTTCAGACTTTCCTTGTTTGTTTGTTTGTTGATAAGTCGCAATCAGCAATATCCCTGCTATGTATTGCAGCGACCCGTAAATATTATGAGCAACGACCTTTATGAAATGTATTCAATCCAGTCACCCAGCCTGACAGTCCGATCCATTAAGTCGTCTCTTACGACCAGCCTAGGTTGTCTCATCTTCCCGAGGCAAGGGAGTTAACTGACTATAAAAGTCCAGTTTCCACCCTTGCTGGTATTATGGAGTTACATTTTGGCTGGACTTTCGAGTCTATGCATAGTCCAATCAAAATCGTGCAACAAAATCGAAATCCGGTTCGTGAATAATTTCGGTCGATTGCAGGATTAGCTTAACATGTGCACCGCCAACTTGTTGTCAACAGATATTTTCAAAATCTTTTCATGTTTTTAATAAAGATGCTCACGTGATTTGATTCATGTAAGACCCGTTTTATCACAATATAGATCTTGATTATCGATCAGATAGTCTTGACTGGGCGCCGCCATTTTGTTTGAAGCAAAGGCAAGTGATACGAGAGGTAGAATCTGATTGGTCTATAGGAGAGACATTGAAGGGACATAGCTCGTAATAGCCACTAGAGGCGCTGCGATAGAGCCCAGAAATTCCAGCCTAGTTCGGCAAGGGTGGAAACTGGACTTTTAAAGTCAGTTAACTCTCTTGCTTCGGGAAGATGAGACAACATGTACGGAACGAAAGTAAAGGTTGAGAATTATTTCGAGGCAGTAGTAAGTATTTTCAAATGATTGGTAGTCTTTAAAAATACTTGTAGTAATTCCCTTTTGAAGAGTTGACGACACCACTTCTCCATGACTGGATAAACTGAAGGCGGATAGTATTCTCAAGTTGTACTATAATGTACACTTTGTTATAATCACCAGGGTAACCAAACATATACGTCAGACAACAATTATCAAATACACGTTTGATATGATAAAGCCATAGAAAGCTTGATTGTGATTTATCATAAAGATTAACATAAAAGTCGCGATGTTATTTTCATGATGTGAAGGCTGACGTTTTGTTGTTGTTTGCCACGTTATGTAAGGAATACATTCAATACAACAACCTATTTTTCCTGTACAAAACTGTGTTAACGGCAAAAGTTAAACGTTAACGTCTGCGTATGTTTTGCTTTATTGTTTAACGCCTTACTCAGTAATATACCAGCTATATGGCCCGGCTGGCTGTACATTATCGAGTCCGCACCAGACAATCGATCCAAGATCCACACTGACACACAATCAAAAGTCACCAAGCCTGACCACCCGATCCATTACGTCGCCCCTTGCGACCAGCATAGGAGGTCTTGGTATGAATAGGTGAGGTGGGGTTCAACGTCGCGTCCACGATTATTGCACTTTCATTGCGACGTGCATGTGTGCGTGGCTGTTTGTACTAGTCCAAACTAATTTTATTGTGATTTTATTGGGCATGTTTAACATGAATACCCCACTCAGACACAGTATACTGACGACGGGCGACCGGTCCTTGCTTCAGCCCCTTAATGCTGAGCGCCATTGGGTATGACGCGGCCAGGAGGACCGGACGACGGAGGCGGTGTTTTGTATCTATAACAACCGTTCTTGTCGGTGCCAAAGTGGATGACATGCGTTACTTAGGGCTTTCGTTCCACTGAAATATACTGCTTAAAGCGGTGATAAATCAAACTCTCACACTCGCAAACCTTTGTCACGCTGCTCCACACTCACTGCAGGGATTCTAAGTAAGCATACGTCACCCTACCGCTACGCCCACGCCCGCACCACGGAGGTTAGGACACATATCGTTACCTAGTGTTTAGAATGTGATGGTTTTGAAAGATAACTTCTGCTTGTGGTGTTTGAGGTGACCAGAGTACATTCAGTTACAGGCTCTGTGCTGACCCTGCCGCTGGGTCTTGACAGCTGATGATCAATGACCAAGAAATAACTCTAGCAGACGACACATTCTTAATTCCCAAAAGAGAAACATTTACACAAATAATATATATAGAGAGGGCTGAAAAGAGGATAGGGATAGTTGTTTATGCGTACAGATAATGGAGTTCATATTACTAATTATAAAAGCAAAGCCATTGCATGTGTAAAACAGAGAACCTAGGCCTAGAACGTTGGATGAGTTTCTTCTATAAATCATCGTAACGACCAGTGGCCGTAATAGTTCCACAACCATGTAAATCAACTGGATATGTAACAGTAAATAAAAAAAGACAATCACTTAACAAAAAGTTACTTTCAGCACTGATATTCAGATATTGTCTGCATAAATACTAAGGACTAGCTCTAATATAGTATAGAATACCATATCAACATAAGTAGAAACATATATGCCAAAGTTAGTTAACACATACCATACCAAGTTTCATTACATTCTGTCCCCGAATGGCTGAATAATTGACACAAAGAGGTTTTTTTCAATTATGTCTGCCATTTCAGCTGCTTTGGTCGAATGGCCTCGGTGTCTTCCCTTTTGACGACTGTGTCAGTGCACAAACTTCATGGGTTAATGCTACCTACCTCTCTTGTTTCTAGGCGAAGCTTCTTTATTTAATTATACTATTCATTTATTCATGAATTCACCCGTTTCAGGTTACAAGTGGATTCAAAGTTGAATATATTACTCGAAAACCCACCAAGGGTGGTACATTAGGATACATATATACATTCAGTATATAATACAATCCTGATGCCAAGACCGGAATTTATGTTTCCGGCAACATGTTTAAACAGTACATTAATGCGTTTAGATGGATTCTCTTTAAGTTTACTGCTTTCTGGGATGATTTATAAGCAAGATGGGGTCCATCAAGAGTTATAAACTGGTATAAAATATTTATTAATTTCTCGATTTCCTTATTTGCTGTAATTGTATGCCAAATTATGTTACTGCGTGTTCACAGTTTAATATTCAGTGGTTCTTTTCTCAAATTTACCATAAACCATACAATTGGTGTTCAGTAACGAAGACAAGCTGCAATTTTCATAAATTTTAATTATATTTTTATAAGTTTTCAATGAGGTTTGTATTTTCAAATCCCGAACAATACTTTACAATCGGGGAAAAAATTATGATACCATACGATCAATTTTAATATTTCGTGCTTTTTTTCATAAAATATATCATATAAGAGCAAATACAACATCTTTGGGCTGAGAATAGATGAAGACCGGCGTAGTCCATTATTCTATAGGTAGGCTTATTTTACCCATTTCCTTTTTTAGAAGTCAAAATAGGAACAGTTATAATGGCAGTGTACCATGGTCTCTGAGGAGATAAGGTTAACAATGTGAAGAAATGCATTATGAGATTGGGGCTTGGTTAAGTGCAAATGTCAAATAAAGGTGGAAATTTAAAATCTCGCACAAAACAGAAAATATGTGTTGATCGCCAATACGAACTCCAAAAGTACCAAATTGTGAAAGAAAATCGCTGAGAAATGGTCATATGAAATTACAGCTTTTCAGTATTGTTAAATCAAGGTCGAAATTTAAAATATCGCAACAACAAAAAAACCAACGACCTCGGAACATACATGTTGAATGATATTGGTAACTACACATGTTCCAAACTTCGTGTCAGGGGCGGTCGGGTAGCCTTAATGGTCAAAGCGTTCGCTCATCACGCCAAAGACCTGGGTTCGATTCCCGACATGGGTACAATGTGTGAAGCCCATTTCTGGTGTCCCCCGCCGTGATATTGCTGGAATATTGCTAAAAGCGGCGTAAAACCAAACTCACTCACTCACTCCAAACTTCGTGACATTTTGAACATTAAATTGCATTTTCATTTTTGGCAGTCATATCATGGAGGCCGTAGTGAAACAGGAAATCGAACGTCTTGAACAAATCAGTGTGTCGTCATTGGTGGGAAGAAGTATGTTCCGCGCCATTGGTCCAGTGAGTTTCTGAGAAGAAGATGTCAGTTTTCTATCTCTGATCACAGACTTAGAGACAGGGACAGTATTATTGGAGCTAGCAGAAATAACTGAATCTTGGACGGTGTTCCTAATTATCTCATCAGAACAGGTGACTAAAACGGGTCTGTTTCTTAAAGTTCAAGGGTTTTTTTATTTACAAGACCCATGCAGCACTCGGCCAAATGCCTTCCCACACTGAACAAGTGCGTTGGCGGTGCAGTGGTGCGCGTCAGCAGTACAAAAATCGCTCGTTGTTGATATTCAACCTTGATTAACGCACTGCAGCGGCAGCGCGATGGCAGAAGATTGTTTAATCCCCCCTAAAGCGTTTTTTTACAGCTTGCAGCCCCGACGTTTTGGGAAATCCCCTTTTTTATAATGTCATTTCATGTTGAAAAGAAATGTGGTGACCCGATGCCAAAATCACAAATATATGAACCATTATTGATTCTGGAAGAACAGAAACATCCGTGTTTGTAGGTCATTGAAACAAAGCATTACAAAGACTCCGAAATGGCAATTAATTCATGGATAGGTACCGACAACTTTGTCAATTTAATTAATTGAAATCAAATCCCTTTGCATATTTAAGATCTGAAGGAGTACGTCCATTCAAGTGATATCTTATTTTTATATATTTCTTCAACAAATGTCGGCTTTATATGATAATCGACACGTTTACTGCATTGAATGGCTGCCCAAATGTTAAAACAAAACACACCGACGCACAGCACAGCACTGGTTTAGTTTGGGAAGTTGGACAGGAAGATAAACTAGCATGGGTCTCTTGATTCGGTAGGACACGTTACCTTCATGTTGCGTGCAAATGAATATTTTTTAAAGCGGATTGAACATTCTCATTCCGAGCTGGCCACGCCTGAAGCTCGAAGTTCACTGAATAATAGATCCAA